TTTATGTATTACGCCACGAAAATGTATTAGCAGTGGAGGTATAGCTCCACGCATAATATTGAGGTGACTTTTATACGTCAGCCGCTAAAGTTACGGAGAAAGATCCTCGTTGTTCACTTGATGGGTGGGTGGGTGGTCCCCACAGGAGTTCTGGACGCTGTGGAGAGCAAACATATATTTGTCCCTGCAAGGAATCGAAACCCAATCATGCGGCCCGTCACCCAGTCAGTGTAATGAGCGGGTAACAATTCTGAACATGGCCATGGTCTATTTCATTATTTCCTTATGGAGGCTGAGGAAAACCACGAAAAATTCACTTCTAAAACAGGATTATTTGGCCGAAAACTTAATCTAACGGCGATTACCCTACGGATATGGGTCTCCTTTTGTGAAGATCGCAAAGAATGGATTGAACTAGTTTCGCCATATTTACAAGCAAGTCCTTCCACCTGTGTACGATAGTCTGATGACCGCTGAGTTAATTTTGATCATTTTTGGGACTCGGAGAGTGCTAACCCAAGACTCACATTCGAAAAGGTGTCAGTCTAGCCTCTAGCGATGTTTTCAAACAAAATCTCCTCTAACTTGCAAAAAGGGCATCAAAAACGCATGCCACAGATAAAGGCTAACATTATTCTCCGAGATAAGTAACCGGAATATCGAGAGTACACTCTGCATATCGCACAGCACTATCCGAGTGACGTAACAACAAGAGGAATGAACTTACGTAGCAGCGGAATATTCCGCTATCTTTTGACGGTTCCTTTTTGGCGTCCAGGAAAACAACGGAATTTAGATTTCAGCATTCGTTTTCCAACGCACACTAATCCGAGAGACAAGTGGGTACCAAAGCAACAATACTGTAACATGACGTCCGAACGGCAGTCAGAAAAGCACAGCAGATACGTCCATTGCTAGACAACGGCTAGCTAAAATATGTTTCCTCGGCAACGTATAGATCAAAAGTTGCCCCCGAATTAACACAAAATTCGGAGACAATGGATTCACGAATAACAATAACGGAACCCTTGAAGGCAGTGATTTATATTCAGTTCTCAGGCATTTCTAAAAGGCCGTGCATTCGTCAAAATTTTAGTATTCAATAGCTGAAGTATTAACCAGACAGGATTTGTTACCAAGAAGCGCCTAGCAAGCAGACGTTGAGGACTTTAGTGTATTATAATTACAGTAATCTTTAGAGTGTTGCAAGTAATTGTTGCTACGAATTTGAGTATCCAATAAATTTATTAACTAATGTATCTAAAGCCGGTGACGGTAGCCGAGCGGTCTAAGGCATGCACTGTCTTCGCTCGCTCGGAAGCCGGGATCGTGGGTTCGAATCTCAGGGCATGGATGTTTGTGTGCGTTTTTCTGTGTCTGTGTACAGGTATAGGCCTTGCGACGAGCTGATCACCCGCCCAAGGAGTCCTACCGAATGTGTAAGATCTAGAAAAACCGAAGTGAACGGAGAAGTTCATGGAGGTAGGCCTAGGCCCACTGGGGCTGTAGTGCCAAGGGGGGGAGGAAATGTATCTAAAAGTGACTAAAATACGTGACCATATTCTACCTCAATATTCAGGCTTGTGAATGTCCGAAACGTCGGCACATACCTATCAGTAATGGCCTGGAAAATGGAGGGATATTACTCCACTTTCATTCCTTATTATTTTTAGCCCACTTTCTTTTCATAAGGAAAGAAAGCAGGTTTATGAGATGACAATGATTCCAGTGAGTGTGTGTGTGTTCACGTTTCCCTCTTTCAAATTTGAACCAATAGAACAATTCTGAAGAAACCTGATATCAGTATTATGCCATTAGACGCTACTCCCCTCTTTAAATACTCTACAATTCTCTACAGAGGCACGAGGTAGCGTGTTTTTCTATTGCTAGTGGGGTGGGACTAAGTCCCTTGTACTGCGGCCACTTCTGGCCTATTGTACCAGCCCCAGATGATAGGTGAGGGTGATTGTGGAGCAATTGGTGGAATGAAGATTGGCAGGGGAAACCGAAATACTCGGAGAAAATCTGCCCCAGCGCCACTTTGTCCACCACAAATCCTACTTGACCAGACCCGGGATCGAACCCTGGCCGCTGCGGTGAAAATCCAGCGACTAACCCTTTGAGCTATGGCGCAGGTAGCGTGGTTGGTTGACTCACTATGCTAAAGCCGAAAAGTCGCGGGTTCGAGTCCCGATGAGGACATTGGAGACAGCATGGGGATTGTATAGACATACTTTAGGAATGTAGCACACTTATAAGGCCAGATTCTGTTAAACCTTGGGTTATGCCCTTTACCAGTAAGAACAGCCCACATATCCGGTATCTCTCAGCACTGGAAATTATGATGCCTACTTCGCGTTGTAAACGTAAAGCTGTACTTGTGCTTAAATAAACACCGAACGATGAAGACGTCAGGCAGGAGTGGCGGTATAACTCCATGCATCCTTAATCTCGACACTAAATGCAGAAAAGTGGTGAGGTTCATTGCCTGATTGTCTCACCCCCCCCCCTTGCCAAAAGAATCCACGGCACCCACTGAATAGGAGACTGGGTGATCCCCAGAGCCGGTCTGGTGCGACAATCAGCTTCTCAAAAGAATGCAACTCCTTACACTGCAACAAACTTTAAAGTCCCCGTAAAGAAGGTAAAGCTATCCCTGTAACAGGCCGTGGAGGCCCATAGGGTTGTGAGATGTTGAGGATGCCATATTTTCTAGACAATCGGCTCACAGACGGCGGTGAGGTTGTCAGCCTTAAGCGGCGGCCGCTCTTTGCCCCCCAGGAAGATTCCTGGTGCTCATTTCTGTCCCAGGCTGAGTCAATGCGAGGGCCATATTGCGGCTGGAACTTTAGGTTAATTGAAAAAAAAATCCGTCTCGTCGAGACTCCAACTCGCGACCTTCCGGCTTTCAGCACAGTGCCTCAACAAACTACAAGTTTCGTAGAGACGGAGGAGTTTACAGCGAATGACGAAAGATATACGAGTACATGGACCCGCTTTGGTGAAACCGAGAATCCGGGATCACATTGACTCCACTTTCTGTGAATACATGTTTACTGAGCAACGAAGGTCCACGTGTTGACTTTCATTCCAGGCTATTTTTAGCCTGCTTTCTTCTCATAAGGAAAGAGAGTAGGTTCATGAGATCACAATGGTGTCAATGTGTATTCCGGTTCTCCTCTTTGTACTTTGGAAGCAACTGAGTGATTTTCACGACACTTCGTATGGATATTGGAGGCCACTCCAACGTCGCAATATTGAACTTCGCACACTCATTAATAACAACATAGCAAACACTCGAATTCGTGAGGTGGCAGCAACATTAGTGCTACTTAGTTGACGGTCATTGCAGAATAAAAAGCGTGGGCCTTGAGGTTCTCAGAGCAGTAAGAATGAAGATCACTGTCTTCTGACGTGAGATGCCGTGTAGTCTCCAAGATATGTTCTGACGCCTTGGAGGAACTTGCTGTCTCCATTTCAGGCAACTCTCGTACACTAAATATGGAGGTAGCATGACCTCCGAAACGTCGTCAAAACTGCCTACATCCGGGAAGTGTAAACCACAGAATATATTCAATATCAAAACGGAATTCCTAATAAACTTCCAGTCGTATTCTATTAAAACCTTGCTGTTTGAAAATAAAAACCACGCATGTGCGGACACACAAGTCATAAAATGTTACTTAATCCAACATAAGACACACAAGAAATCTAAGCGTTAACACGTGCACCTCTCTCAGTAGAGTTGAATATCTGTAATAGGACGTTGTTCAGACAAATGTGGAAGAAACGGATGCACTCGGAAACCCACGAAAATCGGAAGGGTCAGGATTTTCTGGCCAAAGTCACAACGTAACAGATATGCGAAGGGAAGGCGTGAAGTTTACCTAGGGCCATAAGCAAGTGAAAAGACCTTCCACGGCCAGGACCTGTGAGTTGAGGCCCTCCATGAAATTCCTGAAAATTATACAAATTTTCTATTGATTTTCAGAAATCTTTCAATGCCATATAAAATACACAGGGTGTCCCAGGAAGTAAAGTCAATATTCTGGGAGGCCATAGAAGCGGCCATTATCAGCAAAAACAGGCATATGTGTACATGTGTCCTATTCCGAAGGTTTCCCACATAGAGCTATTTCACTGTGGAGTTCCAAAACTGTTGATAAAAAAAAGACATTACGTAATGTTTCTAATACCGGTATTTACTGTTCAGTGACAAAGTTGGTACAGTTTACCCAGTATAATACATTTCCGAAAATTCCACCGTCAGCATGAATGCACTTTGCAGCTCGTGTGAGGACAAGGCTTGTTGCTCGTCTGTTCAGTGAAATAGGACATATGTACATACAGACTTTTTTGCTTAGAATGACCGATTAAAATAATTTTTTACATATATATATTCGCTGGGTCCACTCAGCACGGCAGCCGTTGATTGGCCTACTGTAGCCTGTCCCGGGTGATTATAATGATGGAGAATTTGGTGAAATGAAGATTGGCAGGGGAAACCGAAGTACTCTGAGAAAATCTGCCTCAGCGCCACTTTGTCCACCACAAATCATACTTGGCAAGAGCTAGGATCGAACCCCGGCCGCCGCGGTGGGAAGTTCTTTTTGAGTAACAATTCCATGTACCAGTAACGTTGATGCTGATGACGCGGCCCATACATCGGATGAAATGGCAAAAAGGAAACCTTCCCGCAACTTAAGCTGAACATATGTCAGTGCTGAGTTCAAGTTCCATTTACAGTTCGTCTTCACGTAATGGTCAGGTCCATAAAGAAGGCATCTACTCTGAACGAAAAGCAAACGTGAAAGACATCACGTCGAAATTAAGAGACGTCATTCCAACGCAAGAATGGATATACGCATGCGCAGTCATCACGGTCTCCATGGTAAACGTTTGTTGATGATGTTCAGTGAAGGCAGCCTGTTTGTGCCCGAGGCGAACCGTGATCTTGGCAATGACTACAACGACTACAACCACTCCTCCAATCCCTCTCGCCGAGAACTGACTGTAGAAGGCCAAACTTCCACCACCACCGCCAACAACCGAACCGCTGAACAACGGTTTGTCCTTTGCTCAGTCAGTAAGAGAGGCCCAACGGTGTTGGTCGTATCTTCTATACCGCTATCGTCTGGCTTGTGTACCAGTGCCGGGTGACTTTAACAGTTATACTCCAACACAGTGAAACCGGAAGGAAATGTGACCCAGTGGAAACACAGGATCTTTACATCATCTGAATGAAACGAAAATTAGAGTTTTCTTGCTTTTAACATAATTTCATCCGAGTTTTAAAACGGTGTATTTTCGTTTGACAATGTTCGTGATGTGTACGAGGTTTTTAATATGGAAAGAACTTCATTCCAGAAGACTTGACGACGCTTGTGGTCATATAGGGAATTAAAATCTTTGTGATTTGGATGTTGCAGAACCTTGAACGAAATAACATCTTTTTTTTGAAACTTATGTGCTGAAATATTTCTCTTACGTTTTTGTGATACTGAAAGTGATTTTATACTACATGCATTACGTTAGATCGCTAACTGTATTTTTGTTGAGGTGCTTTTTGGAGGAATATAAGTGAGTAAAGAAATAGCATAACAAAAACACGTGACACAGGATATTGGTGTAACGTCCGAGTTGAAACAGGTGCAAAGTACAAGGAGCAGACATTTTAAATGTCTGCCATATACCCGAAGAAATCAACAAGGGCCAAGTGGTAACAGTTTTCCACAGGTGAATCAGTGAATTATCAAGATGCCCAAGATATTTCTGATCAAGAACCGGCTGCATATGCAGCAGCAGCGACTCCTGGAAAGTCAGAAGAGGTTGGAGTTGGAAGGTGGATCAGAGAATAACAGCGATGCAGGGGAAGATGGTGGGGTTGCACTCACACCCCCAGGGTCGCCCTTCTTGCCTTCCGAAGATGTTGACTGCGAACCCTTGTCTCTCATCGTAGAGAAGCCAACAAACATCAAAGGTAAATCCTGAATTGTATACATTTCTGTACGAACCCGGATACTCCGGGAACGCGAATGCGTCACTACCACTGTGCGACGCGGATTACTACCGTACGTCACTAGTAACTAGATTCTATTTGCAACATTTCCGGTATTCATAAGCGGGTAAGGTAAATGAAAATTTGTCCCTGTGCTTAATTATCACGCCATATGGAGGGAATGGAGATACAGCTCCACCATTCTTGAGCCTAGCTTGAGGTGAGTATTCATAACTTGGTGGGAAATTCAAAGAAAGGCATCTCAGGAACGCAGGATAAATTAGAACAGAATGAGGACACCTTGAACGTTTCGCTAGCAGGTGTCAGTTGGAACGCCCTCCACCTCTCAATGGCATCCGATGCGCCAGTCCAGAGGTAAAGCACATAGGACTTCAGGTGCGTCTGAACTGCTTATGAAAGGAAAGGCTTATTGAATGTTAACTAACGAATTCGCTTGTCTATCTCTTTAACACACAGTTCCATGTATTTACGACCCACTTTAACGTAAAACAAATGTATTTTGGGGCAGAATATATTGTATCTTTCTTGTCGTATACAGAAACAGGCAATGTGAATAAATAAAATAGTTCGATTTAACTATAGACTTTGGTTTTCAATTCAAAAGGAACTGACATTCCACTGCAAATTACAGGAAGTAATTAAGTTTATTTAACGATGTTATCGGTAAGACAACCAATATGGCGCCGAATGATCGGATGATAGTGAGTAATGAATCGGGAAGGATGTGGAAGTAAGCTGTACTGGTCTAATTTATGGTACTATCGCGTCTTTTGCAGGGAGGAACTAAGGAAAAACATAAAACCTCATGATAGTCGTCCCAGACGAAATTCGAACCTTGCGGCTTCCGTATATAAATCGAAAAAATTAACCGCGTAAGAATATTTCTCGGTACATTTATGAATTTCGTAAAGGTAAGAGAGCAAATTTGTACCTGTGTTTAGGTAATTAGGCACCACGCCATGAAGACGTATGGGGGTGGGGGAGTATAGATCCTCGTTTTCTTGACCTCGGCATTGGATGGAGGTGAGTAGTCGGCTTGGCGCTCCGGCCGCTTTACTCCACGAGAAACAGCACCCGGAACTCTCGGATAAGAGGCTGGATGAGCCCCAGAGCCAGTCTGGACTACGTGGAGAGAATTCTTAACCGTACCGGGACTCGAACTAGACCACTCCTTTGTCCAGCCCGTAGCCAGTCTTGGCCCTTGCACCGAGACCACAGTGATTATCCGTTTGGCCTTTGTATCGGAGACGTAGAGTTTCCTGTGAGGTACGAACTGAATTTGTATATACCGAGAGTTCCAGTTTTCAGTGTGTTAAGGCCGCACAAACCAACGCTTATTCGCGATTTGATACCGTTATTTGCGTTCCTGCCTTCAGGGTTATGAAACCGTTTACGTCTATATCTTTTGTAGGTACTTATTTAGCGTATTTTCAGACTTGAGACTATTGCGTCGAACTGTAGGATGATTATGAATAATGATTTCGAAATGACTGTCCCAGCATTTGTCTTGACGGCCTGTGCAGAACTGCCGAGAACTGCCAATACAGTCAGGATCCAGACCGTGAATCGAACCGAGTAGCTTCCGAAAGCAAGTCACTAGAACTGTAGCTATTCCAATCTGCTGTGACACCGTGCGACATGTTAGGTGGTCAGTGACGTTTAGGAGGAATTCTATCCTTAAAATAGAGGCAAGATGTTCGAACTGTCTCAGCTATTCTTCTTTATGTCGCAAAATGTCTTAAAGGACGACTTTTAACACCATGAAAATTGAGACAGCAGCCTCTCCCGAAACGTCGTTAATAATCTACAACGTTTCATAGCTTCTCATCCCAGTAGACAAAACAATGTAGGTAAATAGCGATATAAATTCTATCTCACAGTATGAAACTTCTAAGAGCCTTAAAAAGCAATGCAGATTTATTATAAGCTAAATGTCACCTTATGAACTTTATGAATTAAGCCTTGACATTTAATTAAATATTCCGTTTCCTTGCCAATGGCGACTGGATAAAAGTTGAATTTCTCTATCAATTGTCGTGTGTTTTGCGACGACTGTTAACAATTGCATTTCTGCAAGCATATTTTCTAGCACAGAACTTAAAAACGCGTACAAGGTGGCTGCATACCTGCTCCCGGATTTTTTCTTTTTCTGTTCTACCCTGAAGATGGAGGAGATACGTTCCTCCGAAACGTCGGTTTATACAACATCTACACGGCGCCACATCCCAGAAGACGGCATTCTTGAAAAATAAAATAAATTCAGCCATTAATACCACGCCTCGACACCAAAACTTAACTTCGTGTCTATGGAACTTGGTACGTGCAGGATTGGAGATAAAGCCCCTAATTTATTAACCGAGAATATGATAATGTGCTGCCTTGATAAAGGTGACAGACAAGAATGTAGCAACTGAGGAATTGAGATTAACAGGCGAGCTAAACCGAAGTAACTCGGAGAAAATCTTGCTACAGTGACAGTCTACCATGAAGCTTATACGAAATCACGCGGAACTGAACCTGAGGGTCCGCAGTGTGAAACCAGGGTCTAAGAGCGCGATCTATGGCACTATCTGTCTATGGAAATGCGAAGTTTTCTCAGGATATCACAATTTAAACACCTTTCTGCATACTGAAGGTCCTGTTTGATGTTCATGTTACCAGTTAGCGTTATTTGGCAAGTTGTAAGCCCGCTTAAACTGTTTAATGAAAGAGACAGGAAAAGAACTGGTTGGCATTGGAGATAATTCCCACATTGACAGCAAACAAGGCTATCTACACATGCCGACCTGCTCCATAAATGCATCTGATTGCAGTGTCTATTGTTTCTCAGCCTGTCATGTCGAGCGCACAAAAAGTCTGATGGGTGGAGAGGGTAGGACAGCCTGTCTGGCTGCTGTCAACTGTCGCCCCCGGTTTGCCAACTCTATGGACTGGGTAAGAGTTGGCAGACCGTGTCCCTAAACTGACCGAGCTAACCTGCCTACTGTTTGAATCTTGAGGTCACACAGAAATAACATGTCACATAGGCTTTGGGATCTGTTGGTCTTCAGAAAATTTATTGACCATAAAACTGCAATCTTCACTTGCAACAGCGTCAAAAGACCATTTTGATATGTGACCTCGTCTTTCGTCGGAGTATAATGTATTTAAAAATTCTTGAAATATACCGGAAATATTCCCTCGAAATCCTTCTTCACTACGCAGCTGAGAGAAAGTGCCAAGAGATGTCCACATGCAGAGCAATTCTTACCTGGCACTTACAGAGTTAAGTTCAACTAACAAGAACGAAAGAAATTCGACCAACAAATTACTTTAAATTCCATCCATATATACGGGGCCAAAAAAAAAAAAAAGGGAAACGTTCAGTTGAAAGAGCAAAGGAGACAGAGAGGGATAGAGAGAGAGAGAGAGATTGGAACAGGTAGTTTATTATCTCTTTATCGTGACTGCTTACATCTTGCAAGATTCTAATCCAGATAATATTAAATAAATAGATAGATATCTATGACTATTACTCCGAAACTTGTCCATCGCTTCGAGTTTCTTCAAAATATAATTTTACGGAAAGTGTTTCCGTCAACAAGTATAAAACGTAAAGTTCACACACTACCGGGCCCGTTATGAAGAGGTTTTCCCAATTGCTTAAGCGACAATACTATTTTTGTTGTTGCAAATTCGTGATACAGACGTAAACACAGTAATACCGGAGCCAAAATAACGAATTGCACCCAGCAAGAAAAGCGTTAATTTCTTGATTCAACGCCTGAGGATATCACTAGAAACATTCGTCATTAGCAAACTGTTAAGAATAAAAAGTCTTCGGCATTTACACGATGACCTCTGTGATTAAAAGTCTGGAAACCGCTATGAATATATTAATTACAAGGTTATAATTAAAATTTATATTTAAATTACTAACGGATGATATGGGACAAGTAATGTGACAGCCTGAATTAATATGAGTTATCCAAGGAGAACGCGTTTACTGCAAATCTCTGTGTACATCTGATGTACCCACGTATTCTGAGTCACTTTTGGTCACCACTCTGAACCTGTCAACCTTTCGTGTAGGGGGTTTGAAATCCCCAAGGTCAGATATTCCGTTTAGTCTCAGCAGCGTGGGGGTTAAGAACAAAAATAACCCCCCTGACATTAAGAAACGCCAAGGTGAACACTAGAGTATTCAGCCAAACAAATCTGACGCAGTCCGTCAGCTTCAAATCCAAGTTGTTCCCACATGCTTTAATTTTAATATTGAATAGGCCACATAAAATCAACGAGAAGATGAGTAGGGTATGTAACACGCATGGGACAGAAGTACATAAAGAGGTCTGGTAGAAAGACACGAAGGAGTGTGACCACAAGGATGACCGAGGCATAGATGTCAGTGCATTAATATGAATCTTACATACGAGACATGGGTGGGTACGGACTAAATTCATCTGGCTCAGGATAGGGACAAGCGGCGGGCTCTTGTGAATACGGTAATGAACGTTCTGATTTCATCAAATGCTGGAAATTTAAAATGTAACTCAGCAATTATCAGCTTCTCAAGAAGAACTCAACTTCTTGGATCAAGTCAATACGCCAAAAAGGAATCCTGTTACACGTGTCTGTATTTTAATTCAGATAACTTTAATAAAAATTGTGTTAATAGGCCTGCAACAGGCCGTGGAGGCCCTTAGGGTTGTGAGATGTCGAGGCTCCCCACATTTTCTAGACAATCGACTCACAGATGGTGGTGAAGTCAACCTTACGCACCGAGCGGCCACCCTTTTCCCCCAGGAAGAATCCTGGTACTCATTTGTGTTACAGGCTGAGTCGACCGCAGGGCCACAGTTATACTTGAAGGATTAGGTCAATTGAAGAATAAAATGACCACAACGGGAATAGAAACCACGACCTTCCGGCTTGTAACATAGTGTCTCAACTAACAACGCTACCGCGTAGGCTTTCAAATT